CGAATCTCTCGATGGCGCTCCTCCAGAAGGCTGTGGCGGAGTATCATTATAGTATTTAATGTGCTCTTTAATATGGTAGTAAAAATGTCCGATAAAAATTTAATAAAGTGTAACTTATAGCGCCTTGAAAGTCATGGAGGCAAAATGACTTTTTTTTGGCCCCCCCCCCTGTATATACGTGTACTACATATGGAACAGAAACGTCACGAAAACGCAACCACCCCCTCTCCTAGTAGAAGACGTGAATACAACCTTCCCCCTAACAACAATGAGCAACTACGACTCTCCTAATTTAACGCTCTTGAAGCGAAAAAACTCAGCTTAAAAACAAAGTTTTCTCAGCCCAAATACGACCTCTCCTCTCCTGGCGGCCAAATTCGCCTTATCGATAAGTGATATTTTGACGCGACTGGAGTTTGAGTTCTTGTTACTTACGCCTTTATTTTTGTGGTGTGACCAGAGAGGGGGGTAGGGGTCGTTTAGGGCCAACAGGGATTAGTGTGGGAAACATTAAAGTCACAAAAAGACGGGACCCAACATCCGCCAGGGGACTAGGTCTGGCAAAAAAAACAGCGGGGAGTAACACGTCAAAATCGTTGACCGTTTTCCCGCTTTTCAACCTCAAAGTGACGATAATCTCAGTGAGTTTGTAACGCTGCTAAGATTCCCCACTATACCCAGTGACCTATGATTTGACTGAGTAAAAAATTGGGAAAGAAATCAACAACATATAGCGGGTACAGCGAAGGCTGACGCCGTAATACATTTCAGTGTGTGAGAAAGAAATGTTTTGTCCTACTCTTGTGAGAAATACTTCATTCAGGAGAGTAACGAAAGAGGAGTGGGCTGAAGAAACATTTCCACCTCACTGTGCTGGACTAGTCTATTTTGCATCGCTTTCACTAATCAGACGATTGCTGAGTGCTGCTTATTCGCAACGTTTCTTCTGGGTAACTTATTTTGCTGCAACTTACCAGAATTTCGTTCCAAGCAAATGTTGCTGCTTTGGCCACAGTTATGGAACACAGTGGCAGTTTACTGTAGGGTACCAGCACTAGCAAGCTAATCGTTACGCTCAGGTCAATGATATCTCCTTTTTCAGATTGACGACATCTTCATCACTGGAGTGCTCGCCAAAGCAGCTAATGTCAGTATTGAAG